GAAATTCAATCGATAAAATTTGAGGGTTTATAAGCGATGGAAAGGTTTTTTGATGACCTACTCAAAGAGTACTCACTGGACAGCGAGAGAGAGAGAGCGCGAGAGCGAGAGCTGGTTCGTCCTGTTTTGAGGAACTCGTCAGCAATGCATATCCACTTCTGATGAGCAGAGTTCACTTGTGAATGCAAAACAATATATTGTTTGAGTTATACTTGAGATTTTTACTCCTACGCGTATCTCATGTTATACAGAAACACTGAAATTGTGTACCAGATGTGTCAAATGATTTGACGATACGAGCAGATTGGTTAAACCTTCTCCAATCCACATGTGTTGCAACATACAACCCTCACATTTTCTTATTTCTTAACCAAACTTTGCAGCATCAACATTTATAGAAAATATTTTTCTCCACATTCGTTGACTTCAGAATATTCCGATACTTTTTGATCTGATTTGCCTACTGCGGTGTGACTGGAGTTTGTGCGTCGAGGCTAAAGGATTGCGGGTTTCGGCTAAAGCTTAATGGGAAAAGGTGAAGTTTACGTGACCGGACTCGAACCAGGGATATTTGGGTCAAGACTTTAAACGCTAACCCTTTACGCCATAGGATTTGGAGGATGTGTGTGTATCGGAGGCAGGTAACTAAACTGACTTCCTCGGGGCTTTAACAAGAGGAACCTACACTGATCGTCCAGACATCGCTTTGAGGTTTGTGTGTTTAGGTCTGTGGAACATCTTTAAAAATGAATCGCACAGAGAATTTGATTTGATACCGGGATAATTTGATTTGCAAAAGGTATAGTGTTTGAGTACATCCTATGGTAGGTCTTATTTTCAACTCAGTGATCATTGTTAATCGTTTGTCGTAAACATTGGGTTTGGTGTGGCACTACGCGTTTGAGCCCATCAAGAGTTAAATCAGGTGAGTTTGACGGGGGCTCAATGTGACCTATTCACAGGGGTTTCATCGAGTGACTGAATGAGTGAGTGAGTGAGTGAGTGAGTGAGTGAGTGAGTGAGTGAGTGAGTGAGTGAGTGAGTGAGAGGTCCCCCAATGTTGAGGGTAATGTGGAGGCGACCAAGCATATTTGGAGTACCATTCATTATGCGTAAATACTTTGTGAATGTATGATGAAATCGGCATGTGACAGTTACTAAAGAGTGACCAAATTTTTTCTAGAGACATTTTGTCTGACGCTTTCGATTTCAATCGACTCCAAATAATGAACACAGTTTTTCACGTTTCATTGGTTATATATATATACACGACAAATTCCCCTTTGGACTTGAAACAAATCCTCCATTACTCATACGAAACAAGTAGTCAGGCCATGAGAATTTCCTATCTAGTCTTAACTAGTGCTGAGATGAACGAGGACTGAAACTAGCAACAGGCTCATAAAGATAGGTTGTACTATATCGTGTATATTCAAAATGAGAAATGATCTGATCAACTACTCGGTGACCGAATGAGTAGTATGCTTGTGTTTCACCTGTGATGAGGTCTCAGGTTCGATTCCCAGTTGAGAGGAGAGGTCATTGGATTCGCGCATTGCCCGGATGAGACTCAACCCGATTGAAACACCTGTCCAACTGAGCTTTCTAGCTTTTCAGTTCACGCTTCATTTGTTATATATATACATGACGAATTCCCCCTTTTGAAACTGAATCAAATTCTCCATTACTCACATAAAATGTGTAAACATTTTATCAATTACGAAAATCAGTAATCGGTTATTTATCTATATAATATAGTACAATAAAATTTCAAGAAAGCAGATGTGGTCGACCGAAAAAAAAAACAATATTTCAAGTATGTAATCTTGTCAATTCCGATTAGAAGATGAAGAGAAAATGAAGTTTTGCATCGGTGCGGAACAGCACACCAGGTCTATGGTTAAAATGACACATTCGTTCAAGACTATGCTTCCCCGTTTCATCCCTACCTCCGGACCCCGGGTATCGACAACTAAAACAGCTAGCACTATTGATCCAGAGTTCGGGAACATGTGTCAATGTTTGACCAATCACCCGTATATGTATGCATACACTCATTTTTATCATTCTGGTGATAATGATGATGAGAATGATGATAAAGATGATGACGATGAAGAGCAGAGCAGAGCAGAAAAGCACGTCACGCCTTACCATCTCCATTGAAGCGAACTTCACTCAGACATGTATACAATGTACACACACGCACAGGTGTTTTGAAACGGGCGAAAAATCGAACTGCGGGTTTTTAGAACTCACTTACGCGTCACACACACACACACACACCTTGATGCTGTTGCTATTGCTGCACGATTGTGAGCCAAGAGTAACGGGGTTACAGGATGGGTGAGGTGCCGGAATGCGAAGGTGGAGTTCTTCTACTTCCACGTAGGGGGTAGGGTGGATGGATGGGAGAGGTCCGGCTTTAAGGGGTTCTATTCTGCCATAGTCTGAGAATACAAACGAACCCGAACAGGTGGTAAGTTTTCCCGTAACCTCGCCCAGAGTGAGCTATGAAAGGAAAAATGGACGTGTCTGTGCTTCTGTCCGTGTGTGTGTGTGTGTGTGTGTGCAAGAGAGATGTCGAAGTGTGGCAGCATCTCGTAACATCTCGTGTGATGGCTAGAAAACACAACCACAAGTTGAGTGGCCATGCGATGAGACCGGCATTATTCTCCCATGATCTATGTATATTTGCTCAAACTTGTCTACGAGTACGGAATGTAACTGCTGCTGCTGCTGCTACTACTACTACTACTACTACCACTACTACGTTGCCTTGACATTTTTTTAGTGTTAATGTGCGTGCGTGCGTGCGTGTGTGTGTGGTACGTTATCTCTCTTTTATCCTCGGAAAGCTGAGACAAAAAGAAATAAGCTGAGAACAGATAATTTTTACCGACCCCGAGG